TTCTGCATGGGCTCGGGCTCCCCGTCCCTCCCACACGTCAGGATCTCCCGGCCGTCGTACACCCGGATGATCCGGTCGGCTGTGTTAATCAGGAAGCAGCTGGAGGGAGGAGGGCACAGAGCATTCAAAGAGCAAGGAAACACAAAGAATTCTGGGGGTGGGGGTTCTGAAGACCTCATGTGCTCTGCCAACCCCCCCCCAAAGCATTCAATCCCCTCAAAGGACAGCTCAGTCACTCACCTGCCCTTCCGGGCGAACTCGATGGATTTGATCGCTGTGGTGTTGCTGGTCCCAGTGGTCACTCTGAAGGAAGCAACAAGATCCTGAGTGTCTGTTTTTAAGACCAAGATCTGAAGATCAAGCAGACAGAGAGCAATCAGTTGTCTTCATTGGAGCTCATTTTCCTCCTGGTGCCTTTCACATCAGTCCCTGACACTGCCAACAGAACCCACAGCTGGACCCTGTGGGTTCTGCCACTGCAGAATCTCTGGGGCAGTTCTGGGACGAGGCACTGCTTTATTTACACTGGAAAAGGATCCAACAGCAGCACAAAGGCCTAACTCAGACAATGATCACAGAATAACTGAGGCTGGAAAAACCCTCCAGGATCATCCAGTCCCCCCTGTGACCCATCCCCACCCTGTCCCCCAGCCCTGTCAGGCAGTTTACAGTCTGGAGATCTCCAAAGGTAAATGTGGTGCTTCCCTCAGATCCCATCAACAATTCCAGAGACATTCAGAGAGCTTTGCTTGCACATTAAAACGAGAGAAAACACCCCAGAAAGGTTCAGCACCTTGATGAAGACAGGAAGCACTATAAGCTCCCTGCTGGAGCCTCACCTTGCCCTTTGCATTCCCAGTGTAAATGTATTCCCCTCTCCTGTCAAAGGAGGCCACCACGTTGAGATCAGAGTCATCATCCACGGGCAGAACCACGTGTTTGGAGTCTGACAGCGTGAGCATCACTGGTGCTGACTTCATGGGGCACACCAGCACCCTGTTCCTGCAAAAGCAGAGCGGGAAGAGTTGGTGGTTCCTCCTCTGGAAAGGGATTTCCACATTTAGAAGCAAAAAAAAAAAAACTTCCATTCTCTATCAAGAAATACAGAATCCCCCTGTATTTTTATTATCTTGCCTTTGTTACTTCAGTAGGCAAAATTACATAAGGTTTGTGCCAGCTTTCATTTCCTTTCTTTCTCTGGAAGTTCCTCCAGGTTTGTGCCGTGATTTCTAAACTCAGTGAAACGTTTGTACACATTCCTAAGGATCATTCCCTTGTTTCCTGCCATCCTTCCACGATACTCCCATAACAAACAGAGCTGACACTTCCACAACAAACAGAGCCCCAAATAATTCCCCAGGCAGTTCCTAATCCCAAACCAGCGCGCCAAAAATCGCGGATTAGGTTTGGAACAACCCCTTTGCA